CTCTCAGTTGAAGAACTGACAAAATACCAAAAACTGACTGTACTTAATGTGAATTCCCAAAGGATTTTTGCTCAGAAGGCACCGTTGCTTACTATAAGGTATCCATATAACAGCAAATACAAGATAAAGGCTACTACTCATCTATGAGCATTATAGTCATTAAGTGTAGTACGCAATTATTTACACAACAAATGAAAAGATCTCAACTTTGTAAGCGCATCTCTATGAGCTCAAGGAAATATGAGGGCTCAATTCAGAAACATTGTTTTGAGATTTATATAGCTTTGCTTATCTGTTGCTTTTCCTTACAAAACAGCAAGCAATGTATATCATGGCAAGCAAACAGTATCAAAATGACAAAACTATGTATGGGTTATGTGTTATTCAAGGATATAAAGTATAGGAAGAACAGAATAATATTCAAAATAATATTCTAAAGTACTATACATTATCAGAAAAATATATTAGCATCAGAGTAGAAAAATGTCTAAACTGAGACACTGCTTTTCACTACTAGATTCTTATTTGAAAATTGGGTATAAAAAGGGTATGCGTGCTGGAATGAAACTGCATAATATCAAGAGAGGGTACTTGCAGTACTTAGAATGGAATATAAGGGGAAGCTAGCTTTTACAGAACTGCTATAAATGTCTTTGCCTAGTTCCATTAGTTGCTTTAATGCATTTCCCACCCACGTTTTTGGTTACGATGTGGGTATTTGAATGTGGGCTTCTATGATTTTGTGAAAATTTCCTGTTTTAGGAAGCAAGGCTTCCACTAAAGTTTGCTGTGATCCGGATGAAGATGGCAACTAAAGTCCATGGCAAGTTTTGAACATGCCAGTTACACACCAAAGTATAAGTGCTGAGGCCATTTTCATCTAAAACCACAGAAGAGATGACACTTCCTACCTTTTTATAATATCATACTGATTTTGCTATTCTGCAAGAAATTATGAAGCATCAGTTTAATTCTGTCCTTATCTTGAGGGGAATGAAACCTGTACCCGTGACCTCCATTTATCAAACTACAAAATAGTTTGGAAGGAGTGAAGAGCTGGATGACAGCCATCTCTAGGTTGAATTTCAGTCATTGCACAACGAAGTCATCAGGTGAGAAATAGAGCAAGTAAAGAGGAGATAGATATCTAATGGTTAGGACATTCACTTGGTTCTTGGTCTTTTTCCAGGAATATTTTTAGTTTTCTAGTCATAAATGCAGATCCCAGGTCTTCCCCCATGCTCAGCAGAATGTGCTAACTGCAAGTGTAACTTACTTCCCCTTGCTTGCTCTCTCTTGGAGAGGATTACACAGAAATAAAAGGAAATGAGTTGTACCCCAATCAGACAGGAGCTTACTATCAAAAAGCGCTCCTGCGTCTGGACTCCACCTAGGCAGCAGGCACATGAGAAGGCCCATATCAGGCAACTGAAGTGTAGAGAGAGGTAGGAGTCCAGACATATTCTTATTCTTGCTGATTACTGCTGGCTATTTTTAATCAGGTACCTCCTCAGTGGTGTTTGTCTGGGGAGGATAATTTCTGGCTATATCCAGATCTTCCTGTTGCCTCTAAAAGGAGTCACGCCACCTGACTGGCTTTCCAAATAGCCTCGTTAAGGTTGACGCTCTGCTTTTAGATGTACTGTTACTTGATTTTAGGGGTCTATTTAGCATATGTGGATTTCATTTAGAAGGACTTAGACATTGAACTTCATTTTAGATGTTTAAATCACATATTCAGATACCAAGACAATCCTCAAAATTCCTCTCAGCTACTGCAGAATTCCACAGACACCTACATTTCTGTAGGTAAAGTCTGATAGGTATCTAACTTTCACTTAAGTCTTCATGCCGCCAAGACCAGACCATGGCCCAGTAGAATTATTCCTATGAGGCCTCTGCTACTCCAAGAGGCTTCCTCAAATGAAGCCTTCTAGGAGGTGCCGGGGCATGGGGTATTTAAACTTGCAACTTAGATGTCTGGGCAGACAATTCTTACATTTGAAATCCTGTTTTTAAGTCTCTACTAGGTCCTAAAGTCTTAATGAATTTTGTGAAGAGAAACTTGGTTTCTTATTTAGATATAAGAACTCCAGGAAGGGAATTCAAAAATAGGCAATATTATTTTAAATGTAGGGGTGCTTCAATTTTGAGGTGTAGACTTCTTTATTACAATTCTTCCCTATTAGTTGGAAGTAAATGCAAGCACATCTCTTCTTCTTTCTGGATGAGTCATGAATGCAATCTATTAGACTGAAAAGGACTCTATATGTTTCCTTTACATTATGGATAGTAATAGTTACTGACCATGGCATAATAGTATTGTTCTGTCTCCATTACTTAGCTATAAAAAGATAACACACTTGACACTTCACCTCCAATAAAGCAGTCTGTCTTGAAAGTCAGCATTTGGTCTAGAAAGCCAGCAGAACGTGTAATTCAGAAGGCTGTTTTGCCAGCATTGTTTGCAGTACTGCTCTAAATATGAATAGCAGATAACGTGGCCTCAATTCATATGATACAAGTTGAAAAGTTATGAGTATTAACAGCTTTACAGGCAGCTCCTTGAAACGTACAACCACATTAGAACTTGATGGGCTTTCTTAAAGGTATATTCCCTATATTTAATGCTGCATCCTGTGGCATTCATATCACATTCATCCAGCATGTCACATTCACATGGCACAGCATAATCACTAAGCTAAAAATATAGGAAAAAATAGCAGAAGTTTAATAAATCAGATGGTGAAAGTGTGGAGATAAGGCTTGAGGTGAGTAAATAAGTTCTATTACTTATAACTTGGTTCTCATTGTCTTGATCTGCAAAGGATATGTCTTTTCAAACATAAAATAGAAACATAATTCTTAAAATTAGACTGTAAAACTTCATATTGAAGTGCCTTTCAGTAGGTTACTTCCTGTGTTCCACAGCAAAGAATGAAATGGAATTTTAATAAAACATTATAAAACTGCAATTCATTGGCAAACTTGTTTCAGCTCCTTCACAACAGAATGTATAAATTTTGCTTACAAAGACATTTAAGGTTACCCTTGAAAACAACCTTTATCCAAGTGTGAGTTTTGTAAATTGCTCTTCTGTCTATGTCGTAACTTACCACCTGCATTGTAGACATATGCATTTGTTTTTTGATCCTCCTTGGAAGGCCTCCAAGGAACCATTTCTATCTCTACTTTCTGGCCTGGCACTGATTGTGGGTGGTAAAGACAGCAAAAACCATATAGGCGCAAGACATTCTGAAACCACTCTGGACCAGATTAATGTGCGGCCTGTGAGGACAAGAGTGTCCTGCACACAGCCAGCTCAGCTTCCTGCCCTGATACTCATTTTTTTCCTAGGGCTAGGCTACCCAGGTTTGTAGTGCAGGTGGCTAGTAGGTCTGGATTTGAGGCAGATATTAAATCAGTCATAAGCATCAGTGTTGATATGGCCATGTAGGTTCTTCCCTGACATCAAAACAGTTGATATCAGAACTTTTGGTAAAATCTGAAATCTGTACATCCCACTATTCTCCATTTACTAAACACAGAAACTTAATGGGATTTTAACTTATTACACTTGAGCCTTACTAATGGGTAGCAGCACTCTAGATCAGACGTGCATATGATTGACATGGTAAAATGATTAAACAGAAAAACACCAGGTACTCGCCCATACAGGAGAACTTTATGAGCTCTTTCAATCAGTCTGAATACTTTCCTTCAAATGATATGCTATTTCAAAAATAGATGGAAAATTTATACTACCATGAGCTTGATGTTGTTTGAAACTGTAATTGTTTTTAAGGTAAGCGCAAATAAGAACTAAACAAATGAATTCTATTTCATCAAAGTGGAGATAATCATAGGAAATTACAAATTTACAACAGAAGGAATCCACTCCCATGAAAACCAGACAATATTCATTACAGTGCAGAATCCTATTGCTGGCCAAAGTCTGTAATATCCAGGTTTTACTATAATGGAAGAAACACATTTCTAAAAATGGAAATCAGCATGTAAAAACCGGTGTCCTGAGTTCATTCCGTCTTCAAATGCAAGCACAATTATCTCATTTTAAGTACGTATTAAATATCAACGATAAAATTAAAAGGAGCAATGTAATAAAGTCTCCTTCTCATTTACCAGCCTCAGTTGGAAAACTCAGTCACTAAACAGTGTTCATGAAAGTTTTAATCGTCTTCTGATACTCTCTGATAGTTAGCCCTATTGGAGAAGAAACACTGTGAAGAGAAATTATGATAGAAAGTAGCAGACTGCCAAGGTAAGAAAGTACAAAATTGTCCTTGTTGAAGATGTCCTCTTTCATTTAATTTTTCTTTAAACTGACAGATAAAATGAAATACAAGTTTGTCATAGACTGAATGCATATTGAGTTTATCACCTTATCATAATCAATTCAGTACAAGGTAATCTGGGATACTCCAAATTGCATACAGCAATGCAGACATGCTATCCCAGGATTAAGGATCTCTGGAACATGAAAGGTATTTTATAATGATATTCTCACCACAGACTGCTCCTTAATTATACAGAACTTTGCACATTTCAAAATGTCTTTTACTAGTCTTTTTCCTCAGATAGATTGATACTAGTTTTTAAAAAATCTTGTCCAATTACAGGTCTATGACCTGCTTCAGATAACCAACTCTTACTACAACATATCATAAAAAGTCATACTTAAGTGTTCCACAATTGTAGAATAGAAGTTTACAGAAAAATTTTCGACGGTATATTATGTGACTTTAAATATTCATAATGTAATATGTCAGCAACGAGTCATCTCATAATAAATTTCAAAATTGCAGAGCAATATACCATTTCCCTTCAAAATAATAATTTATAAATGTCACATAGGAGAAAAAAAAGGGTTATTAGCAGTTCTATAAATGTTGTTGAAAATCCCTAGGTCTGAAAAATGTGAATATGTATAGCAAACAACATATATTTATTAGATTTATGTTTTATGTAGAAGTTCTTACCTAAGCTGTTTAAAAGCCTCTGCCTTCACAAGTGGTGTTTCTACAGAATGTTCAAAAAGTGCTCCTTCGGGCCCTGAAAAAAAAAAGGAAAATGCTATATTATAACGACTCATATGTTGAAAAAATATCGACATTGATTTAGCTGGCCACTTTGATGTCAGAAATTAAAATATGAAAATATATACTGACACTTAACGAGCCGCATCCCTGCAGTGCAGCCAGCTCCTGCCCAGGCTTCCCTGGGAGGAGGGGACTAGCTGAAGCTGCACAAAAGCCCCACAGCACCCCATCCGGCAGGTGTTCTCAGAGTGCACCTAGTACACAGAGATTGCTGAGAGCGCTCAAAAAAGCAGCCAAACAACAGCAACTACAGTAAGGTTGGAGTCTTTCACCTTCTGTTTATTGGCTTTGTGGATAAAGCACTCATCCAAAACTTGGGAGGCCTAGTTTTAGTGCTTTTCTCAGTCTTATCGTATTCGTGTATCTAAATCACTTTTCAGGTATGGATGGAGCAAGGCAAGACAATATAGTTTAATATAATACCATAGATGATTGATTTTTGCTGGCTGCTCTTTAAATTAAAACAGATAATTATCCTCAGGAAAGAATTCTAGCTTGGTATATTGCAAATATATGGAGATATCTTTCTGCAGGCATCTCCCTCTAAATTAGGTATCCACTCTCTGGAAAGATTAGAATTATTCCTCACCTTTTGGGGCTTAGCATTTTGTATTGGCTCTGGTTTCCTTCTTTTTGGCTGTGTGTTTTGTTTCTTACACAGAGATAGCAATCCTTTAATATGTACTACACAGAGAACCTAAACAACTAAGTCACAGTTTTGGATTCCATCTTGAGAACAAGGCTACTACGTCCGTTTTCAGCTTTTTACAAGATACAGCTCTAAACTGTCACATATCCATCTTGGCAATTCTGTAGCAGGTAAGAGAATACGAGCATGCAGATAGCTGCGTGCTACTGAATATACTCACATGCACATACATGCTTGTTTAAATACTAGTGTATGTGCATAATTTGTACTAATTAACATTTTAAATGCAAATATACATGCAAGCAAAGGAAAAATAGTTCTTGCTTTGTTTCTGGAAGTCCTGATGATATTGGAATGAGGAAGTGAAAGTATTTGTAGAATCAGACAGCCAGAAGGAAAGATAAGGAGAAATGGATAATCAATGAGCAGATGTGGAATAAAGGGGAAAAGAATGAAAATCAGTGGGGGCAACCACAGAGAGGATCAAAGGTAGTAAGACAAAAGTGAAATCAAGACATGTCATTAAAAATGAATATATCAGTGGCTTTCCTGGAAAAAGTACCGCTGAGCTAACTGCTATGAAGACCTGACGGTCTGAAGCCTTCTTCAGGTGGCCTGGAGGGATGTTCGCAGAATGCTCTAAGAAAGCATTAAAGGTGGCAGTTTTTGAGAAAGACTCTAGCTAAAACAACAGCTCCTTAGAATGAAATCTGCTTAGCTTAGATGGAAAGATAGGAAACAAGATATAAGAATCACTATACTAAACCACTTCACTGAAGTATGGATTTCTAAGCTGCTTTTTAGGCTTTCTTTTAAATTTTATTCAGCTGTTGTTTAAATAGATGAATCTTTTTGGAATCTGCTAACTGGCATGAATATAACACTATTCATTAAATCAGCCAGGATTTTAACTTTTCTTTGTTAACATTAAGATTATTTTCCAAGATAAAACCTGGAATCTGGCTGGCCATAGTTAATAGCTCTTGCTATTGTCCTGGCTAGTGTTACAAGGTGGCAACCTTACACACTGGTGGTAATGAAAAAACTTAAGGAATTAAATAAGTTTATCAGAAACTGCTAGTAGAATTGAGATATTTTACAGGAATATGCTGATCTGTCAAAACTTCTGACTTTCACTTTGATTGCCATTGAGATGCCAGAGTTCGAGTATTTCTGTGATGAGCACAGATTGCCTCATATGCAATTCTTCTGATAGTGCGGTCCTCAGAGAATAGGTTTTGATCCCTCATTATCCTTCATTCCGACTATGACCTACTTGACAATTCTTAGTGAAGCAAATATTTCATTATCTTCCTAAGCTAGATTTTCATTTTACGTTCATAGTGACTGAGTTGTCATTTCAGTGAAATATATGCTGCCACATTGCTACTTGTACTAACAAAAGACTTATCAGTAAATTTAAATAATCTCAAGATGCATGATTTATCAGGGGAGACACTTTGATCTTAATGTCTTCCGACTGCAGTTCTGGGAAGTTGTTAAGTATGTTTACATTATGAGGTTAAAAAAAAAAATCTTTAGGCCCCCAAAGGGTGATATACTTGGTTCAAAACATTTGCTGTTCACCCTATATAGATTTTAGGGGGGTTAACTTTGGACCGCTCTAGTCTGGTCCTGTGGACTTAATAACTATCTGCAGTCTTCATGCGCTAAACTCACTCTTGGAGCACATTTTTCAGTTTGGTTTCATCTAAAAGGAATCTGCTTTATGCACTTCCTGACTCCTCCATAACATAAACCAGTCGGAAGCAAGAACTGTCAGAACTGTTACATCTGCAGCAAAAGTACAATCCTGAATGAGCTAATTGCTAAAGTATATGCACATTTTGAATGGTTGACTATAGAAGGCCTTTCTAAATTCCTTTTTTTTTCCCTTTTTCTTATTCTTCCTTCTAAAACTACTGGCTATAATACTGCCAATGATAAAGGGACAAATACATGCATGTATCTACATACCAACACACTTTCTATGGAGTGCTCTTCTACTTGAGCGTGGTTTGGAATCTGTTTCCTTTTCCTTTATACAATTTAAATTTTTTGGAATTTTAAGTACCGGCTTAGCTGTACTGTGTAGTAGGATGTGGTATAGCGATGTGATACAAATGAATTTCCATCTTTGGATAAGCTGCATAACTTCTTATAATGCAAGTTGTGTGACACTACATAGCTTGAAAATTCATGCCTTGCTGAATGGCTGCATTGCCTTACACATGAAGGTCACTGCTGTAAAATTTGACTTTGTACTAGTTTCTTGATATCTAAATAGTGTCCCATAATAAGAGTGTTTGTGTGGTTTCTGGATACAGATCCATTTCCACCTTGTTTTAAGGTATGTAGGAAAGGCTGGACATTTGGTAGCACTGGCACTCTGGAGAGAAAGATGGATATCAGTACTTCTAGATGTGTGCACTGTCTGGTTTCCATAGTCCTAGTCAGGCAGGTATATGAACAGCCTAGTGTATAACTTTTTGTAAGATCTATCTGACTGAAAGTCTTGTGTTTTCATTTATGTAACTATTTTCATGCTGCAAGGCTGTTCTGACTTCATAAACATAGAAGATCTGACTCCCTCCTGCACCCGCACGTCTTTTCTGCAAAGGTTCTTTCCAGTTGGTCAGCATGTACCGGCATGTATGGCGGGTACGGGCGCGCAGGGTTATTCTTCCTCCGGTGCAGGGCTTGACGTTTCCTTTTGCTGTAGTTCATGAGATTCCTTTTTGCCCATTTCTACAGCCTGTTGAGTTCCCTGTAAATGGCAGCACAACCCGAAGTGGTCTGTCAGCCACTCTTCCCAATTTTGTATCATCTGCAAACTTCCTGCACTCTGTCCAATCCTCCAGGTCATTAATGGAGACGTTAAATAGTACTGGACTCATTATCAGTCCCAGAGGTACACTATTCGTCACCGGCCTCCAGTGGAACTTTGTGCTGCTGATCACAATCCTTTAAGCCTGGCAGCTCAGCTAATTTTCAGTTCATTTCACTGTCCATTTACCTAGTTTAGACTTGGGGAGACAGTGTCAAAAGTCTTGCTAAAGTGCAGATAAACAACATTCACTGCTCCCCCTTATCCACCAAGCTAGTCATATTATTGTAGAAGACTATCAAGTTGGTTAGGCATGGTTTCCCTTTCATAAATCTGTGCTGACTATTCCCAAAAACCTTGTTCCTACTATATTTGGAAATGGCATCTGGGAGGATTTGCTCCATCACCTTTCCAGGGATTGAGGTGCCTTCTTGCCCTTCATGAAGACAGAAGTGACATTTGCTTTCTTCCAGTCTTCAGGAACCTCCTCCGGTCACCACCACCTTTCAAAGATCATCAAGAGTGGCTTCACAATGACATCGGCCAGCTCCCTCAGCACTCACGGGTGCATCCCATCAGGTTCCTTGAACCATGTCTAGGTCCAGTTTGTTTAAATGTTCCCTAAGCCGATCCCCCCAGCCGAGGGTAAGTCCTCCTTGCTCCAGACTTTTCCACTGGTCTCAGGGGCCTGGGGTTCCTGAAGGCTGGTCTTAGCGGTTAAGACCAAGGCAAAGGAGGCACCGAGGACCTCGGCCTTTTCCTTACCCTTTGTCATTAAGTCTCCGCCCCATGCATTTTCCCTAGTCTTCCTTTTGCTACTGATAAACCTGTAGAAGCCCTTCCTGCTGCCCTTCATGTCCCTCGGCAGATTCAACTCCAGGAGAGCTTTGGCTTCCCTAACCCGGTCCCTGCACACTCTGGCAGTGTCTCTGTCTTCCTGCTGGGTGACCTGTCCCTGCTTCCACCTTTTGTATGCTTCCTTTTATGTTTGAGTCTAGTCAGAAGCTCCTTGTTCGTCCATGTAAGGCCTCTTGCCACCCTTGCTTGACTTCCTGCATGTGGGAATGGACTGGTCTTGAGCTTGGAGAAGGTGATGCTTGAAAATCAACCAGCTCCCCTGGATCCCTTTCCTCTCCAGGATGGTCTCCCACGGGATTCTTCCAAGCAGATCGCTGAACAGGTGACCGACTGTTGTCCTGAAGTCCAGGACTGTGATCCTGCTTTTTGCCTTATTTCCTCTCCTCAGGGTCCTGAACTTCACCATCTCACGGGCCCTGCGGCCAAGACTGCCTCCAATCTGCACATCCCCAACCAGTTCTTTCTTACTTGTAAGTATAAGGTCCAGCAGAGCACTTGTCCTAATTGGCTCTTCGATCACCTGTGTTATGAAGTTATCAATGTACTCCAAAAAAGCCTCTGGACTGCTTGTGCCCTGCTGTGTTTCCATTCCTGAAAATATCAGGGTGGTTAAATTCCT